AAATTTAGTTAGTTTATAGCGTAGCAATTAGTTAGCTGTAGCAAATTAATTTTGTATAAATAGAATAGCTTTTTGCTTAAGTTGTAAATTAACTCTATTGCGAGTTTTAGTTTTATTACAAGTTCAAGTAATAAAAGAATCAACTTTTAAAACAAAAATACTTTTCTCTTCTACGTGTTCATCATCTAGGATTTGATTGTAAATCACTACACTAACTTGCGATTGAGTTCGTCACTTAGAATAAATAAATTTTCTACGTTTTTCCTACGTTTTTCCTAAGTCCCTAAACCCTTAAATTTGTAAATCAAGTAAAGTAATTCCTAGGCACTTCAGATACCTGTAGGACGTAAGATTCCCTAAGGTTGTAAAGTCCAATGATAAGGAAGTTACTTACCGCAGCTAAGGAACTTAGATAAATTACGTGAAATAATCAGATAAGATTATTCCCAGTGACAAAGTGGTAATTCCTACCAGGCCAATACAAAGAGAAAAGTATACAGAATTTAAAGTGGATTTAAATACTCTTAAAGAAGATAACCAACTATACGACCTTAGCCATGAATCTGATATTGACCCTGAAAGATTAATAGGGAAAGATATTTCGTGTCAAATTTGTTATCCCTTATATTTACCTGAACCTGATAACTTTGAAGACTTTCAATACTGATATCACATTCAATTTGGATCATATAGATACTCTGAATATATCCTTGATTTGTTTAAAATATTATAACAAGTAACTAAAGAATTAAGCAAACAACCTGAAAATATCGATCTTATACAAACTATAACTTTTCAAGTCTCTACATTAATCAGAAGTTTTAGATATAAGAAAGTTGCTAGCTTACCCCCAATTGCTGAATTAATAGTCTTATTAGTAAAAACAAATTGTGTAGAAAAAGGAAGCGTACCTTTTTCTGAGTGGTCAAATATAACTGTTACAGTCAATGACTATATATTTAATCAAGAATTTAATGTGGATCCTTCTGAAGAAAAGACCTTGTCTTCCCTGAACCCTATGAATTCTGCAAAAACTAGAACTCTTCGATCAGGAAGAAATTACAACCAAGATCCCTCTATTCAGTACCAAAGAAGATCATATCGGTCTGCTACCAAAATCTCTATTGCTTATGCTCAAAAGGTTATTATATCAGGAAACTCAAGTGAAGACCAACCAATTCAATCAACCTCATCCTCCCCAATCATTCAACCTAACCCTATTATTGAAGAAAGTTCAAATGAAGAAACAATTACTCAAACCAATTTAGAAACTATTCCTGAAACTTTAGAAACTTTTGACTCAGACGAAGAAACTGTTACATATACTGAAGTAAACGAAAGATGTTCATCAAACGTTAAACAAAGAAGACAAAATCTTGCAAGCCTTGTTATCACTCAAGAAGAAACTGAATTTTCATTCTTAACAGTTACTAATCTATACTCTGAATCGGAATACGTGCCAACTAATTATTCTCAAGAATTACCTGTTTAACCTTCGAATTTAACTTTGGAACAATTTAAAGAAGCCTGAAGAAGCCTCTCAAATAGTTGTAGGAACTCAACCTGAAGAATCTTTTAGAAACAATTCATTTAGTGATAATACTATTTCACCAACCCTAAGATGAGGAGGATTTCAAGAATCACTATCATCCAACTTATTCAACAATACTGCAATCGGAACTATAAGAAATAGATCTTTCACACTTTCACCAGTAGCAACCAGTATCCCAATAATTAAAGGAAAACAACCAGTCACATATTTTACTCAATTTTCCAAGGACAATACTTTGTCTAGTTCTACAATGTTCCACTTTAGTAGTCTATCTGGAGGAATTACTACAGAAACCCCTAGTATTGCATCAGGAAGTAATAATCTATCTCAACAACCAGCTGTCACAATAACAGCGAATGTTCAATAGATTAACGTAGCTAATAATTCTAATACAATAGGATTTAATACTACTACTACAAGTAGTAGTACTGAAACTGGTTTTGAAACGACAGGAATGGGATTCGGATAACACCAATCTCAACAAACTCAAACTGCATAACCTCAACAAAATGTTTCTCAATTTAATCAATTCGCTCAAGGTGGTAATCAAAATAATCAAAATGCACAATTAGCTCAGGCACTTCAATAAATTACATTTGCTATACAAACGATGGCTATAAACAACAATAATGCAGGACAGGTACAAGTTAATCGGGCTGAACTCAACTTGGTAAAACCAAACTATTTTTATGGATTTGATGATAAAGACCCCTTTGAATGGATCACCTCTTTTAATCGAGCTACTACTGCAAATCAATGGAATAATAATAGAAAATAGCCATTGCAGCTGGATATTTAAGAGATGCTGCAGCCAAATGGTATGATAAAAATCAAGGAAATTATCAAGGATGGCATGTACAAGGAAATCCTAATAGTTTTGTAAATGCATTCTTAAACTATTTTGCCAGTTGGTCATAGTCCTCAAACGTTAAATGCAGCTATCACTAAAGCTAAAGAAATCAAAATTGGATTTACCATTGCTCAACCAATCTAACAACAGTAAGTAATAGTTAATCAATTGGAAATTCTACAACAATAGGTCACGTAATTAACTGAAAATCTAGCAAACACCCAAGTCCAGTCAAATCCACGTCCTAGATGGAATCAACAAAACCAGCAAAATCAGCAAAACCAACGAAATACAAACTTTCAAACTCACTGAACTAATGAATGATGAAGATGTGATGAAGAAGGACATTTTGCTAGAGAATATCAATCAAAAACACCTATAAAAGCCCAACTAAGATTCCCAAAATCAAAACCAATATCAAAATCAAAATCGTACACCATACCGTCTATCTGGTAGACCACAACAACGTAATGTTAATTTAACTGAAACAAAGCAAACGGAATAAGATGAAGAAGTATATACTACAACTAGAATCTTTCTTAGAACTGAATCAAGAGGAGAACAAAGGATACGAACTCCCCCTTGATCTCCTAAGCTTGTCCTACAAGCTAGATTTGTTTTACATTATGAATAACCCTATAATATTGTTCAAGATTTAGGAAAACACGATGTTAATATAACTTTTAAACAACTATTACGAAACCTTCAATATCTATAAGAATTAAAAGATCAAATCAACAAAGTAGAAAAGGTAATTGAAATCAATATCGTACAGACTCATATCAATGATAATAATAAATATACTGCCGCTAGATGTATTATGCGATACAAATTAAATCCTATTGAAGTAATTTTGGACTCAGGAGCTGCTGCCTGTATTATTTCAACAACCTTAGCTAATAAATTAAAGATTAAGCCAAATAAGTCATCCGATATCTTGGTAGTAACTGCTGATAGACAAAGAAAAAGATCATTAGGAATTATTACTTCAGTTGCTTTGATTCTACAAGGAGTTCAATTCACAGTTGATTTACAAGTAATTGAATCACCTCAAGATACTTTAATATTAGGAATCAATTGGTTCAAAACATTCAATACTAGAATGTACTTTGATCAAGATGAATTGCAAGCAAAAATCCAGAACCAATTAGTAAAATCGCCAATAAAATGTATCGAAGAAGCAAAACCATATTTCAGAATACTAATTAATACAGCTGAAAGTGAAGAGGAAGAATATGAGGATGAAGCTCTCTTTGAAACGGACCTCTTCCAACTTGAGAATGAAAATGAGGAAAGGAAAATCCATTCTGATTCAGAAATCAATAAGAACGAGTTAGAATGTATTGAATGGCCTTATAATGAAGAAGAATTTATAAACCTTTATACAGTCATACCTCTCTATAGCGAATTTTTATATTACGAATTTTTTGGACAACTATATTAAATTTACTCTCGTTATAACGAACTAGCCAATCAAATTCTTTAAAAAATTCATTATAGCTCTATAGCGAAGTTGAAGTTCAGGACATAAAATTCGTTATATCAAGGGTTGACTGTATAGCTGATATTGAAGAAAATGAAATGATAGAACAAGTCACTGTCAAAGCTCTTATCCTGAAAGAAATCATCTCTACTGGAGGGACAGACATTGGACAAACCCCATATGTAAATCATCAAATACCCCTCAAACTTGGAGTTAAACCTATTGCGCATCCACCATATAGATTAAACCAAGAAAGGAAAGATTTCTTAGAAAAAAAAATCGATAAGATGTTAGAAACAGGGATTATCCAAACCTCTGAAAGTTCCTGGGCCTCTCCAGTAGTAATCGTACCAAAGAAGACAGGAGATCTAAGAATTTGTGTTGATTATCGACCCCTGAATGCAATCACTATTACTGACAGTTATCCAATCCCAAATATGCAAGACCAATTAGAAAACTTTAGAATTGCAAAATATTTTACTGCTCTTGACTTAGCTAGCAGATACTGGCAAGTAAAAATGCATCCAGAAAATCAACCAAAGACTGCTTTTATAACACTATCAGGTCTTTATGAGTTCAAAGTAATGCCCTTCAAATTAAAGAATGCATTTGCAACCTTTCAACGTCTAATGAATCGAGTATTACACTGATTAATTGGAAAGTTCTGTACTGTCTATCTTGATGATATTATTATCTATTCTACTCCATTCAAAGATCATTGTCATCATGTTCAACAAGTTTTTAATAGACTTAAGGAAGCAGGATTAAAATTAAGCCAAGCAAATACATATTTGCTGTCAACGAAATTAGCTACTTAGGAACAATTGTAGGTAGTAATAGAATCAAACCTAATCAGAAGAAAATTCAAGCAATGATCGATTTACCAACTCCAAATAATCTAAAGGAAGTATGCATGGCACTAAGACTCTTTTCTTATTATTAATGTTTCATTCAAAATTTTGCCAAGATTGCTGGGCCATTACATGATCTCACCAAGAAAAATACTGAATGGTCATGGACTCCTGAACACCAGAATTCCTTCGACATTTTAAAAGGAAAAATGATTACTACCCTAGTACTTACACAACCAAACTTGAAAAACAAATTCATTTTACAAACTGACGCATCAGATGAAGGATTAGGAGTAGTATTCACTCAAAAAGATGAACAAGGGCTAGAACATCTAATTGCCTATGCTAGTCAAAAATTATCTAGCTTAGAATTAAAATATACTACAATAGAAAAAGAATGTCTTACCATCAGATGGTCTATTGAACATTCTGATCATTATTTATATTATCAACCTTTTGAAGTAATCACTGATCATTCTGCTTTAAACTGGTTATTAACTATGAAGCATGTAAAAGGACGAGTTACGAGATGGGCTTTATTCCTTTAAGTATACGACTTCACTATCAAACATAGACCTGGTGTCAAAAATCAAAATGCTAATACATTCTCACAAATAGTCTCAGTCAATATGGCATTAACTGAAGAAAACGAAGAAGAAGATAATCAGTGGATACAAGTACACTTCTCTGCCTTAAATGTCTCAGGATGTCAAACAATATGGCAATAGAATAGATTATATAATAATCGAAAATATCAAAAGAATACTTATGCCTATGAGGAAAACGACCATCATTCTCATTGGTATTGTACCAATTGTTTTCAGTGTGCCAACCCATATGGAAATTACATATCTGCACCTACAGAATATACTATTTGCTAATTTAATGAACATGAATATTATGAATATTTAAATATGACATCGGATGGTGATGATGAAGAAGTTGAACAACAACCAGAACAAATTGAGGAAAATAGCAGATCAGATTTCAATTTTAGTTACGAAGAAATTGAATCAATCATTGATGGTAAAGGACAGGATTGGAGGCAAGATCTATACAATATCTTCTTGAATGCTGCTAAATTTAGACAAACTATCATTAAATGAATGAATGGGAACTGACTTGAGAAATATACTCAGGAATATTCTGTTAATTGTATACTTTGTGAAACAATTATCATTACAGACCTACACTATGAATGTATTATCAGATATAATCTGAAACAAATACATCCTGAAATGGTTTCTGAAACTTTAAGCACTGAAGTATTCTGGGATTATACCAGAAGAAGTGCAGTGGAATGACAAAACTTGTCTTGCAGCAGTTAAACTACTAAAACCAATCAATAATCCTAAAACATGTGAATGAACAGAAGATGAACTTGACGAAATGTTTAGACCATTTGCACCTATTATCACTCCTATTTATGCCTCAACTTTTGATGAAGTTTGTAGTAGAGCTAGCACCTCTTGTTATTAAACATTTATCTTTATTTAGTTTATTAGTATAATATTATTAAATTTAAATTAGCAAAATATCAAAATTATTTATTTTTATTTTATCATTTTAAAGAGATAATACCTAGTTGAATAGCATCTAGTGAGTGAAAGTCTCAACATTCAAATAATCTAATTGAGTATAAGCAAAAGTATAGTAATGAGTCTGTTAGAGTGGAGTGGCGATGCTAGGTTGACTCAAACAGACTTGCAATATAGTTATATAGGATAGTTGGTTATTAAAATTTAGTTATTGATTTTACTATTATTGCATTTTTGTATTAATTAATAAAATGTAAGTAGTGATTTGATTGAACCATTCCGACCACTGATTGATAATTGAGTAAGCATTATGACTTGCAGCTCAATTATTCAATATGAATATACAACAGTACTTCAAAATACAGCAATATTTAAATCACAACAAATACCCTGATTATGTCCAATCGAATCAGGAAAAGAAAAAGTTTGTCAACATGACCAAATACTTTACAATTCAAAATTCAAATTTATATCGATATGACAGAAGATGAGCTGGACACCTTTTACAAGTCCTCAAACGGTATGAATTAGAACCAATACTATATATGATGCATAATGACCCTACAGCTGGATATTTTGGAATTAAGATAATGTTCAACAAACTTAGGATATGATATTATTGGACACAAATGTATGAAGATATCAAAGCATATATTAAAGCTTGTGATTCTTGCTAACGTAGAAGAGGACCAAATAAAAATAATGAATTATATCCCATCCCACCATATAGTCCTTTCTATCAGATAGGAATAGATTTCATTGGACCATTACCAATTACACTACAAGGAAATCAATACATTATTATAACTGTTGATATGTTCATTAAATGGCCTGAAGCAAAAGCTGTAAAAAAAGCAACTGCTAGTCAAGTTGCTCAATTTATCTATGAAGATTTATATGTAGACATGGTTGTCCCAGAAAAATCCTAACAGATTGTAGTACTCATTTTAACAATATGATGATTAAAGAATTAATGGAAAAATTCGGAATTAAATATCATAATTCCACCCATATCATCTACAAACAAATGGACAAGTAGAATGTTTCAATAAGACTTTAAAAGAATCATTAGCCAAACTTATTCAAGAACAAGCTGAGTGAGACTTACACATCGCCCCTGTATTATTTGCTTATCGTATAGCTTAACAGGCATCTACGAAAATGTCACCTTTTCTGTTGACTTATGAACGAGAAGCCAAGTTACCCTTAGATGATCATGTGGATCAACAAAGTAAAAATTTGATCAATAGAGTTCGTCAAATTATAGAAAAATTACCTGAAATTAGAGAAAAAGCAAAACAAATAATGATCACTGTTAAAAACAAACAGAAGATAGCCCATGATAAACAAATGGTTAAGCCGAAATCATTTGACATTAGACAAAAAGTTTTGTACTATGATGCTGCCAAAATGAATCAATTTTCAGGAAAATTAGAACTAAAATGGAAAGAACCGTATAGGATTCATATAGTTTTAATAAACGGATCTTACAAAATAAGAGAAATAGATAGACAATTACTAGCCAGACTTGTAAATGGCGATCTTTTGAAAGAATATTTTAATCGACAGTCATGGGAACCTCATGTGGTGATCAACAATAATTTCGGTATTTAAAGGATAAGAAAAATATTTAATGTTCATATTTTTGTAATTTTTGAAATCAAAAATGGATGATATTTACAATGACTTAATATGACTTGAACCCATTCAAATGGAACTATGGTCAAAACCATATAATGAATCAGATGACGTAAGTAACAAAATGAAGAAAATTCAAAGATATTATCAACGAGCAAAAATGATGAAAAAATGGATTGAAATGCTTGTTTATATGTACTTTACTGGAGAACTTCTAGATGAAATAGATGATTCTGAATATAAATGAGTCAAGTTAATAATGAACTGACACTAATATGAAGTATCCAGAAAAGTCTTCTTCATTTTTAAAGAAATTGGAATGATGCAGTTATTAAGAACTAAAACATTGACTATAACAAAAGTCCATAAAATTCCTAAGACACAAATTTTTGATTTGATTTTGAGGGCGAAATTATTTTTCACTACATTCGAAATTCAAGTAAAAGGAGATTTGTCAACGTCTAAAATCGATCTTACTGTGCCGATTATTAGTGACCAATGGAATGACGACATAATAAGCGTGACCAATACTGTGCCAAATTATCTGCATAATTCTGAATTTTGATGATTCTTAGGATCCACAGGATTCTAGAAATTCATAGGATTCTTAGAATTTACTGGATTCGTCAGATTATCATGATTCGTTAGATTTTCATAATTCCTTGTATTTCCATTATTTTAATTATTATCGTTATTATTCTTATTTTTATTATTTTTATTATACTTATTATTATCTTTACAATTATTATTATCATTATAATTATTATCATTATTATATTAACACTTTTAGTTACAAATTTAGTTAGTTTATAGCATAGCAATTAGTTAGCTGTAGCAAATTAATTTTGTATAAATAGCATAGCTTTTTGCTCAAGTTGTAAATTAACTCTATTGCGAGTTTCAGTTTTATTACAAGTTCAAGTAATAAAGGAATC